CAGGTACGTTGTTGTCAATGTCTGCTGAAGCCCGTGCTGAAACTCCACCACTAACACCCTCACCATAAACCCCCCAACGCCCGACCCTCAACCCCTGAAATACAACCCCCCCAACCCCCGCAACCCCCCAAACGAAACTTCTCTGTTCAAAGTTTTCTTTGCGGATTCGGGGAGATCTCGGTGAGCGCAGTCCAACCATGTTTTCAAAAAAGATTTTTTTTTTTTTTTTGACCCACTTTTGGACCCAACCGGAATTCCGTTTGGACTACCGGGGGTCCAACCGGCCCGGTTGGATCCGGGCCGGTCCAACCGGCTGGTTGCCGGCACAGCCATGAAAAAAAATGCTTTTTCTCCTTAAGCCGCCACTACCTGTCCAAAGCTAACTTTTTCGACGAAGGTACGTTGTCTACTTCCTCTCGCCCTTTTTTTTTTTTTGACTTCCMCTTTTTTTTTTTTTTCGGGGGATCGGTCTCTCAGAAGCTGCCAGCCAAAAGCCAAAAAGGGAAAAAAAAAACAAAAGAGCCCCTTGCCCGTTCCTTTTGAACTTGGGTGTGCACCCCCAATCTGCGACTGGAAAACGAGGCTCGGAATCCTATTTGAAAAACGAAAGTGCATTTTCAATGGGACGTAATGGAGAAGGTCCCAGTGCGAGTTTGTTTTGACATGAGTTCTCGTCAAGATTTTGGAAATTGGGGAAGAGAAAAACAAAAAGAGAAATAATGAAGCAGAGATTTGCATGGCTGATCATCCTTTGTGTTGTTGTCAATTCTTATTTGAATTTTGCGCAGGGAAATCCTATTCCGTTAAACGAAGTGCTCGGAACGTTTGCTCTGGCAGTTGGGGCAGCGGTGAGTGTCCCGGGGCATGCTCAGACTTGTTGCTTCTTGACCGAATTGGGTCTTCATTGCAGTCAAATACATGCAGGAATGACTGCATGCGAGTCCACACTCAGTGATCTGCCTCCTCCCACAAAGATCTGTGTTTTGATGATTACTGAGGAGACTTATTATTATTATTATTATTATTATTATTATTATTATGATGGTGATGATGATTATTATTATTATAACAAAAATACGAAAATAGTTTGTGTCCCTCGAAGTTCCCCGTTTTTTCAGTTGTTGTTTTTCAGTGGCCTGTTTGAGAAATGTTTGAAAAACGTGAAAACCTTTTGAACCTAACTTGTCACTCATCCATGGAGAAAAACAAAGTGGTGCAAAACCTCTGCTTTTTTTTTTTTTTTTTTTTTTTTTTTCAAAGCAAAACAAAAATGATCTCCTTCAGGCACACCCTATCGACAATATGAAAAATTAGGCCAAGAATTCAAAGAGGAAATAACACACCAGAACACCAATTTTGGGGTTACTGGTTAACCATTTGTTTGCATTGAAAAAGACTAAAATGTTTATTTATGCAGAGAATTATTTTTTTAAAGGTATTTTACTATTTTCATAATTTTATGAATTTTTTTTATGCTACGATCCTCGCCAATTTCGAATTTCAAAATTCACATGAAAGAACAATGCCGTCCAATTGCAAAAGAAATGAATGAACTTGAGAGGAGAGAGAGGGAAGGAAGAAGAAGAAGAAGAAGAAGAAGAAGAAGAAGAAGAAAAAGAAGATGTACACCAGCAGAAGACCAATGATAATTCCCCCTTCTTCTCGCCAACCAACTCCTCCTCCTTGTCTCCTCCGCTCTTATTCAAACGTTAAATAATAATAATACTGATGAATGGCTGAACCAGAATCAATGTCCGAATCCCTCTTCTACTGCCAGCGCAACAAGAGGTCCACCATAGCCATGGACGCCCTCCTCTCTCTTCCTCATCCAGGCCGAGGCTATGGCGGACTACTAAGGGCCTTGCCCTGACGTGCAAAAGACAATGCAAAGCAGCTAGGGCCTCTTCCTCTCAGGCCGTCATGCCTGACTCTGCTTCTTGACGCAGCTCTACCCCAATGGGGCCCTTCCAGATGCAGTGCCCGCCAAGGTGATGAAGATGGCGTCCACCATAGCCAGGTAAGTACCCCCGCTGCTACCCTCTCCTGGTCTCCTTCTTCCTCCTCCTGCCCGAGTTCCTCCACCATAGCCAAGGTGGAGAGCCGTGTGCTCCTCTTCCCCACAGCGCTGCTACACCAGCGCTCCAGCAGCGTGTCGCCAAACTTGCACGCAGCAAAATGAGGAGGAGCTCTTCCCTCCTCCTGGCGATGTAGCGGCCAAACTGCCTCTTGTGCGGTGACTTCCAGGCCGAGCGGCCTCCAAGCAACCGGTACCTCCTCCCTTTCGAAGGAAAACATCATTGAAGGCTCTGATATCGTAGACTCAGACTACTTGGAGTGGTACCCGCCTAGACCTAGCGTACCGCTGTTGGGCCTCTAAAAATGCCAAGTTTTGTCGTCTTCTGCTCGGACTCTGGCTCCCGACACATCTACCGCTACTACGGCCTACCTACTACTCGAGTGCCTTTGGGCCTACGCTACTGCTACTCGAGTGTGCCCTAACCTACCCCTTCGGCCACTCGAGTGTTTTTGCCTGCTGCAACTGCAAAGTCACGGCCCTGCGGGGCCTCCCAAACAAGCAAGTGCCCTTGCGGGTCACACACACACTCAGGCCGACAAGCACTTAGACATGCACACATACCAGCAAACACGCGCACACACAAAAAATTACAAAACTCAGCAAAAAGCGGGAATCTCAGCAAGGCATTCATTCCAGCCGCAAAACTCAGAGATCAGCTGTGTTCTCCGTCCGCGGTTTAGCAGGTCCTTACATTTACCGAAAATTTGAGAAAACTTTTTTTTTCAAGCGAGCAATTGGCTGGGATAATGGGCGTCGCTCCACTACTCTCCAAAAATGCAAAATGAGACTGAATCCTTCCATAGAACACGGAAAGATGCACCCCCATATTTTTTGTCTTTTGTGAACGTGGAGAGTACTGGAGCAAGGCCCAATATCCCAACATCTTAATTTGTAACCCCAGTCCTGATTACTCCTGTCATCTTTCTCCTCTTCTGAGGGCATACTCACACTGGCACCTATAATCCCAAATCCCCCCCCAAAAAGGTACAGGACCGGTCACACAGATCTGCCAAAGTCCGAAATGTACCATTCGTATGCCCATTTGTCTGCGGCCTGTGTAGCCGCGGGGCAAGGGAATTTGCGCTCACCTCTGGAGGTGACCGCAAATGCGCTATTTATTTTTTTGTATTGTCTTCAAGAATTGGTGAAAGTTCGTTCACGAAAGTTCTTGTGGATGGCGCCGTGTGACCAGCAAAGTACCAAATCGCCATTGCGCCAGACGGCCAGGGCCTTGTCCCATCTGAGAAGGTACAGCAGTGCGACCTGAACCATGCCCAAAATCTCAAATCGGCCCTTCCCAAAGCCGCATATTTTGCAGATTTGGGGTCGCAGTGTGTGTATGCCCTGATGCTTCCTCCTCCTGTGATATGTACTTAATTATTAATTTCTTTACTTTCTTTATTGCGAAAGGAAAGGACGCAGCTGCCAGTGAGATAATGTTGTGGACGGCGAGGGATCCTGCCCACAAACCTCCTCTTCAGATGATTGGCGTTGTGGCACACATGTGAAATCTCCTATGCTCGTGAAATGCTTTTACATGTGGTAAATATTTGTTCATTTGCTTGCCGGTGATAACTAACCGGACTGATGCTCCCAGAATAGAACGGGTACCCTTGTGTGTGTGTGTGTGTGTGTGTGTGTGTGTGTGTGTGTGAAAAAAACAAAAAACAAAGAGATCTGTGCTACTCGTTGGACATCCTGCCATAGTCTTGGGCTTTTGCTTGCCAGCCATTTTTGAATTTTTTGATCACATTCCTGATTTTCTCGTCCTCAATGTGCAAAAATATGTTTATAATTGTGTCACAGGATGACTGGGAGGATTTCAAAAAAAAAAAAAAAAAAAAAAAAGAGAAAAAAAAAGAATCCCTGGGAGGATAATATAAAAACACTCACAAATAAGAGGAAAAGGATGACTGGGAGGACTTAAAAAAGAAGAAGGAGAAAAGCTCTTCGGGACACTCGTTGAAATTGTGAGAAAAAGGATGACTGGCAGTACTCTGCTCATAGCCCCTACGTTGTCTTCACAACTTGTCTCATACGATCATTCATAAGCCTTGAATTTACTAACCTGGGAATTGAGGTGCCTTTTTTCTTACTATTGTTTTATGCAGTTTCCTTCCCTAAACCTCCCCCCCCCCTGCCAGCTCACCCCC